GCATTTTACGGATCCACTCTGTGGGGTACAGTATTTTCATGGATCTGCTCCGTGGGACAAAAATGGCATTACACAATATGAGCCTAGACCACTGTGACCAAGTGTGCTCCAATCCATTTATCCTTTGCTCCTCATGTAAATAATTTATTCCAGGAGGCAAATGTGCACTTGGCATTTATTTACTATTCACTGGTAACATAAACTCTATTTAAGCAGGTGCAAATTCACACTTAGAGGAGACAATCATTTTTTTAAGTGTGAGGCACTTACTAAATAAACCATGACACTATGGCTCACTACAAGTGTGAACATTAAGGATTCTGCTTTTATGCTTACCAAATCTGTCTTCTGCTTTCTCTTTCAATTTTAAATGGGCTTTCTGAGACATCTTGCAGATAAATGAAATGTTGCTTGACTTAATTCCACCAGCACAAGTTGGGAAGAGAAGCAGAGGTTGGAGACAGGACAAGGAGTTGGTCTCTGTTAGCGGGACCAGCTAAGAGAGTGAGAACCAGAAAAGTCAGCCTCAGAATGGCCAGCCAGAGAGCAAGCAAGGGCTCCACTAGCCAGGAAGAGTCAGGCCCCCAGAGGATGGATGGGAAGCCAGGCAAAGAGACAGCATAACAGGCCCAGGACAGTGAGCCAGCCTTGCCGACCAAAGGACCTACTCACTTAGCATCCAGGATCATCATGCAGGCTGATCTCAAATCTGAAATCTGGAAGCTCTTTGGGTGGAGTGGGAGGACTCAGCCCAAGAGCCAGGCAGCACCTGAGAAGTCATTACACCTACAGTTATTGTGTGTTGAACATTTAACCCAGGCCAAACACTGCGCTAAGTGCTTTGTATGCTGCAGCAGTCTTGTGAGAGTTGGTCACAGATGTTCTCTTTCTTCTGGGTCTTAGTTGGATCCCCTTGTGCTACTCTTGAAGCGAGCCTTGACCATGAACTTTTCTTTGGCCAATACACATGAGTCATATGAATGGATGATTTCTGGGTGGAAGCATTGAGAGCCTAAATCATTACATGATTTTCCAACTGCTCTTTAGCTGCTGTGGCAGCCACAAAAAAATATCAGAATGGAGCTTCCATCGGGCAAGGCAACCAAGATGAGGATTGTCCCCAGCCGATAGGCACAGGTGAGATATGTGAGGTGGAAAGTCTACTTTTGTGGTGTCCAAGTCTCCGACATTTGGAGAATGTTCATTCCTACAGTACAGACACGGACTGTCTTGTTTCATCACGGCAAACCAGCGACTTCTCTCAGGGGGAACACAGTTGTGCATCTTGGTAACTGTGAGCCCTTTGCCCACAGAATTAATAAGAAATGAAATCAAAGTCTAAACCCAGGTCCCTCTCACCAGAGCCCCTACGCTTAACCACACTTTGACAGGAGCTAATTGAATAAGCAGGAGAGAAAATAAGGCATCTCCATCTTCAGAAATAGCACCAGGAAACCTCTGTACAGTGTAGCTGGCATAACACCAGGCAACAAAGTAGAGTGGGCTTTGCATCTCTCCCCCTTTAAAAAAGAAAACTGTTCAAAAAAGCATATAGCACCAAAGGATGCCAGCCTAATGCCATGTTATCCTCTGGGCTAGTCATATCTTGTTAAATGGTTACCTCCAAAGCAAGCCAGTCCTAGGGAGGCTGCAAGAGCAGGGGTGGATTAGAGGGTCTGGAAGTGGTCCCTTGCTCCTCTTGCTTTGCTGGACCAGAATCCTTCACTTTTACATTAGACCTAAAGTAAATACATGATCCTACAGAGAACAGAACTTCCACTGTGTCCCAAGCCTAATGCCTTCCAGAGTTCTAGACATTATGAAGCAGAACAGGAAACAAAAGATTTTAACAACCAAGAGCATTATTTGTAACTAGTAACACAACATTCTGTGTACAGCCAGCAATTTTACTTTTTCCTGAAATTTCCAAGTGAATTCAAAGTCCAGCATTCTTGTTACAAAACATGACTTCCTCACAGCTTCTAATTCATTATTTTAGTATGAAATGATTCCCTGTATATATTTATTTCTTAGTAAGTATTCATCTTAAGTGTCGACCAACCAGTGATAGGAACCATATTTAAAGATTGATTTCAATCCTCAACTAATTCGGGTCATTTTTTTCTTGTCCAAGCTACAAATTGGTCCAGCAGCCTTTAAATCAGAAAAGAAGAAATAAATTATTCTCACTTTTAGCAAAGTGGGTGGAAATCCATTCTTTAGTTGCCTGCTTTATATCACATTCTTGACTTTCAGATTAATCTGTCCCTCTGAATTCTGGACAGAGCCCACACACTGCCACATTTCATTTCAGGAAATTCTGTTATTATGATGACCAAATATGTGTGTCATTTGAAGTCATAACTTATTTATTTCCTTAATACTTAGATTGGCTTTTAAAGCACCAGCAAAATAACTGAGTAGGCTGTTTTCAGGCATATGATCTCCATCATAATTATTAATTTATTTTTTCAACATAATAAAAAAAGTGGCCATCCATTTGATTAGACAGACCAGAAGAGTATTTTTAAACTGCCATATATCTCCTTTGAATTTCACATGACACACTCATCCTAATCCCTGCAACACATGAATCAGAAGGTGCCACATATGTTCAGAATGTTGTTTACAATGAAGTCAACAATACATTTTCATGCTTTCTGTAACAATGATACCAGGTTACATTTGTTATAGGTTTTTGACATCTCAAACATTAATTTCTATTAGCAATTACCATCAAACTATGTGAAATATCATAGTGCATTCAACATGATATATATTATAAATACCTGGCTCTTGAATTCAAATAAAATTTACATTTGTATACTAATTTAATTTTTCATAGCACTTTTATTAATATTAATTCATTAAAAATGTTTGTGGATAGTTCAAAGGAGCAAGAGAATACCACCAAGAAATTTATTTAAAGTCCCCTTTCTAGTTGAAAGGGGGTGTAGAGAAAAACATCAGAAGAGATATATGCATCTCTCATTAAATGTAGTTGAAAAAGTAAAACAAATGCTACACTGATTTAAATATCAAATGAGGAGAGTGATTTTTTTAAAAATGAATGCAATGCTCTCTTTTGGAGTATCTGAGTGAAGAAGAAAGCATAGACGCTCACAGGCTTTCAAACAACCACATCTTCCTTTCCCTGGTCTCCGATCCTCAGAGGAGGTTGAGTATCCCATACTCATGCAGAAAGGTGAGGCTGCTATGGCCCACATGGTATGACTTGATACTTTCAATGAAAATCTAAAAATGAGAAAGCATTTAAGTATAATGCGTGCACCGCTCATGACTCAAGACATAGTCATAGAAGGCTGCACTACTGATTTTCAGTAAGAGAATAAAGGAAATAGACCAGCTAAAAGCACAAACTGCAAAAGAACACACATTCAGAGTGAAACTAAAAAGAAGATATGTTCTATCACCCTCCCAAGGCTAGACTGTTATCCCTGATACTAAAATCAACCACATCATTGGTTGATTACATGCTCTTTGCATATAATACATAAAGATGCTGTTTGCCCCCTTTAAACTAATTTACAACACCAGCCTCTTCACTAATTCAGGAGCGGGCATGTTTAATGGATACTGTAGCCTTTCAAACAGCTTGCCATCCTATAAATCTTCAGCGACTTCCATGGTCTTAAGGATATGAGGCATCCTTTTGACATTAGCAAATGGCTCTCTACACACAAAACAGTGCTGTTACCCAACTCAAAGCTTCATTTTAGAGCTTTCAGTGACTTCATCAGACCCTCAGAAAGCAGGCACAGACGTTCCTTTCAGATTATTATAATAGAGAAATGCCCCTTCTTCGCACGTTTCCTCCTGGGAAGAAGCCTGTTGGTGCTGCAGAGCCCAGGAGGAACGCTTTGGGGGGCAGATGGGATGCAGGTCGGTGCAGCAGTTGGAAATGCGTGACTTCCAGGAGTTCTTGGTCTTATCTTTTTTATCACTGTTGGCGTCCTGACCCAAATACAAGGAAACCTCCACATTCCATTAGCAGACTCAATTTGGATTCTGCAGCTCTGCAGGGAGAAATAGCATCTTCTCCTTAGCTCCTTAGCTAGTTGTGCTGCACTCTTGAGATAATTCTCTTAGTTTAATTTTAACATTTGGTTTAAGAATATGCTGATGGATCAGATTTGAAACTGTGGATCCACTAAACGCCTTTTTAGAAGGTTTTTTTTTTTTTTTCTTTCTTTCTTTCAAAATGGCAAGCCTTAGGAGCTCAACTCCGGAGCCAATTCACTTCGCGTGAAGTAGGCACTCCTTGGGAACAGAGGTCCCCTCTCACCGGCTCCCACCCTCCAGAGCGGAGGATTTCTGGGGAGCCCCACGATCCCTTCGTTTTTAGCCTTTCTCCTTGCATCCCTTCGTTTTTAGCCTTTCTCCTTGCAACGCGCAAATCTCTCCCTAGTTGGGCTCAAGTAGAGAGGATCGCCAACTGCTCATCCCAGCGGACACTCTGCAGAAAACTAATGGCTTGTGCGCGGGTCCACGCTGGTCGCTAGCGGCGCCAACTTTACCCATTTGTTAATTTGTTAGTTTCTGGACTGAGTAAAACAGCCGCCAAAGACGCGGGCAAACGCCGCTCTAAAGCCCACTACCATGCAAAGCCGGGTTGCTCAGAGCCACGCTGGTGGCACTTCCCCTTCTTGCTCATCCTGCACAGGCACCCCAAGAACCCCATGCAAAAAAAAAAAAAAAAAAAAAAAAAAACCCTACCGGGAGACGCAGGTGGGCAGGTCGGGTCAATAGGGGACCAAGAACCTGAAAGGGAACCTGTCCTCCCCTCCCCGCAGCCCGGTCATTAAGGCAAGAAATTGCAGGCAGAGAAGCCCCCAAATCCGACCTAGGACGTGGGCGCCTGCCAGGATCCCCTCGCCTGGCCCCGCGCCCCGCGCCCCGCACGCGCTCATGCCACCACCACGGGGAGGGTGCATGCGGCAGGTGCCTGGCTGAGGCCCCCGGGAGCGAGTCGCCCTTACGTGCTCCAGCTTGTCTTTCCTCCGGAGCCAGACGCTGGCGCTGTAGTCCTGCTGCTTGACGCTGCTGTAGAAGTTCGCGCCCACTCGGGTCAGGCTTGGGGAGGGTTCCTTGGGGCGGCTTTTGAGCCTCATCTGCTCGAAGCCCTCATGGGGGGAGGCCGAGAGCCACTCGTGCTGCCGGATCTCCATCCTGACATGACCGGGCGGCCGCCGGCGAGCAGCGGACTCGGGACGGGCGCGCGGGGAGCCGGGCGCGGAGGGCGAGCGGGAGGCCGAGCGGGAACCGGAGGTGGAGCTGGAGACGGAGCTGGAGGAGCGAGCGGGCGCGGGGAGCGCGGGGTGCTGAGCGCCAGCGGGGAGCGCGGCCGGGCGGGAGGGGGCGATCGCGGGAGGCGCCGGGTGGAAGGAGGGAGGGCGCGGTGCGGGCAGGGGCGGGGTGGAGGGCACGGACGGGGAGAAGGGGAACGAGGGGGGACAGGGAGGGAGGGGAGCTTGCTCCCAGGAGACAGAAGTGCCCGGTGCGGCGGCGACGTCGCCCGGCGGCTGCGGTCCCGAGCGGGCGCTCCGCTCGCCGGCTCCTTGTGGCACCGACTGGGACCCGGGCCGGCTCCCGGGGCGGCGGCGGCGGCGGGGGTGGGGTGCGGTGGGAGGGGCCGCGGCTGGCCCAGCCAGCCCGCGCCCGCAGGTTGGTGCAGTGAGGAGCCGCCGCCGCCCGCCGCCGGGCCGAGGGCTTCGAGCCCGGCCGCCGCCCCTCCCGCCGCGCCCAGGCCGGGGCGGCCGCGCTCCCGCTCCGCACCCGCCTTTCCCGAGCCGGCTACACCTCTCCCTGTCGCATCTTTACTGGAAAGCCAGCAGGCGAGGGGAGAAGTGAGCGCCGTCTCCGCGCCTCCTCCCTCCTGCTGGCTGAGCGCGGGGATGGCTCGGGAGGGAGACACTCAGGAAACCACCTCCGCCCTTCCCCCAGCTCTATCCAGCGGCGCCCCCTCGCCCTGCCCCCGGCTCGCTTTGGCTGCGCCTTCCCCCATTCTGAAAGTTCACTAACTTCCCACCCCAAGGGACTTAGAGCAGACGGTGCCCAGCATTCCCCCCAGAAAACAGCCAAGAGACATGTGTTTTCTTGAGCCTTACACGCTCCTTTCATCCGGAGAGGTGGCGATGCAAATGCGCCCGGGGGCAGTAGCCCCTTGGGCAGGCATACGGGACCGGTTGCCCCCCAGCCCTCGGTGACCACCTAGAACCAGGTTCCCGGGGCCGCACCCAGCCTGATCCTGGGAGGGTGATCCATGGCTCCTCTGCAACGCTCCGCTTGTGCAGTGACTGTTCCTTGGGTGGACGTGGCCCAACTGCTGTGCATTTGTTTCTTTCCTCTGTTTCCAGGCCCCTAGGGTCCGGGCTTTTCCTTCGGGGCTCAGCCAAGTGTGATGATTATTAGGAAGAAGGTGGCATGTTCGTGATTAGATCTTAAATCTCTTTATCTTTTGCTATCTTTGGAGTCAACCTCTGGAAACATTTTTTGGTTTTATCTAAATGCTAAACAGCTGGTGTTCAGGGTGTCTTGTGTCTGGTTAAAAGCTTGGGAAGTGTATGGAAGCTGGAGAGGTATACAGGGAATTTTAGAGGGTGTTGCCAAGGGTAAACTGAAGGCTCTCTAGCCCTTAGCAGAACTGCCCTGCTTGGATGACGATTTCAAAGACATTCTGGCTGGGATTTCACAAACTTTTAGGAGGACAGGGATTGTGTTTCATATCTTTTCAAAGTCTCCATTTTAAAAAGTGGTATAGTAAAAATAGTAGTTGGAATAAAATCCTGTGCACTGTCAATATGGGGATGAAACAACTAAACACAAATACACACGTTTTGGTTGTGCTAGGTTAGTTTTCTTAGGAGCTGAACTATGTTGTGTAATAGATGCCCCGACCTGTGGGCTATCTCTAAGTCTCACGTTATCCAGCAAGATAAATGTTATTAACCCTCCTTTCCAGTGAAGCAACTGAAGCAGAAGCAGAAATGACACTTCAAAACAAGGATATGAACCAAACTGAAAAGCTGTGAAGGCGGAGTGACTCAGGTTTGTAATCTCAACCAGTTGGGAGGAGGCAGGAGAATCACTTGATCCCAGGAGTTCCAGGCCAGCCTGGCCCTCACACTAAAAATAAAATAAGTTAGCCAGGCGTGGTGGTTTCAGCTACCCGGGAGGCTGAGGCAGGAGGATGGCTGAAGCCTGGGAAGAGGAGGCAGCAGTTAGCCAAGATTGCACTGCAGCCTGGATGACAGAGCAAGACCCTATCAAAAAGGAAAGGAAGGGGAGGGGAGGGGAGGGGAGGGGAGAGGAGAGGAGGCTGTAAAAACTATACATTCCATTGTATAGCATCTCTGATTTTTTTTTTTTTTTTTATTTTTTTTCTTTTCTTTTTTGAGCTGGAGTCTCGGTCTGTCACCAGGCTGGAGTGCAGTGGCACCATCTCGACTCGCTGCAACCTCTGCCTCCCGGGTTCAAGCAATTCTCCTGCCTCAGCAGGAGAGTAGCTGGGACAACAGAGGCATGCCACCATGCCCAGCTATTTTTTGTACTATTAGTAGAGACGTGGTTTCACCACGTTGGCCAGGCTGGTCTTGAACTCCTGACCTCAAGTGATCTGCCCACCTCGGCGGTCCAACGTGCTGGGATTACAGGCACGATCTGATTTTTTTATTATTACAATTTGCCCTACTATTCACTGCCCCCAAGTTTTTACTATTAAAGTTTAGTCTTCATAGCTTATGCCTTCTTTAAAGTATAACCACACAATTTAAATGATGACAAACAATTATGTAGTCTTTTATAATATTGTTAATAAAATATCTTATTACCCTTCTGCAAAGAATACCTCCGCATTTTGCTCTGTGAGATTAGGTATTTGATATATCCAAACCTTGACAAGTGATGGATATCCAATTCAGGGTAGTAATGAACTGTGCTACTGTACAAGAATTTAAACAAATGGGTTCCATATTGTGCCAGGTTCTCAAACTGAATAGATTTTGTTGAAACTATACCTTTATAGGAGTATACATAGTGACTGCAGTAGGTACTACTTTTTTTTTTTTTTTTTTGAGACGGAGTCTTGCTCTGTCACCCAGGCTGGAGTGCAGTGGCGCCATCTCGGCTCAGTGTAATCCTCACCTCCCAGGTCCAAGCAATTCTCATGCCTCAGCCTCCCAAGTTGCTGGAATTACAGGCATGCACTATCATGCCCGGCTAATTTTTGGTTTTTTTTTTTAGTAAAGGCTGGGTTTCACCATGTAGCCCAGGCTGGTCTCAAACTCCTGACCTCAAATGATCTGCCCACCTCGGCCTCCTAAAGTGCTGGGATTACAGGCGTGAGCCACTGCATGTGGCCAATCTCCATTTTTTGAAGAGAGTACACTGGTGGCATATATATGACAGCACACTACTAAATTGTGCATTATAATTAATTCATAGATCATATTTGTTATGATCAAAAATACTAGTCAAAGTATATGTTTTTACAGTTTCATACTTATTTCATACTTAATTTACTTGGTATACAGTGCCAGACTAAATGAACCCAACAAGTTCAAATAAACCCAGGTGCAGACTTATTCATAATTATTTTCTATCTAGGATTCTTGTCCAAGTTCATCGTTTATGACAGTAATGTGGAACTCACTTGTTGACCTTCAAGAGAATATTTCATATAAAATTGAACTCAACCGAAACTGTTGTAGGGAAGAAAAATAGTATTTCTGAAGATGGCCACGTATAATATGAGAATGTTGCACCAAAAATATTACGGAAATGTATAAATAATACTGAATTTCTACATTAACTCCCGCAGCACTTTTTCCGGTACATTTTCATAGCCATTACATTTTCTGAATGCAACGTAGGTGTTATGAACCATCTGTCCTACTAGCCCATTGGCTTTTTGGGAGCTGGGGCCACTCCTGATTCTTTACCTTGCTGTTAGTGCCTTACATATAATAAGCTTCCAATAAACTGTGGTGAATAATGACTGAATGGGTGCTAACACTTGGCAACATGTTTTTGCTTCTTTATTTTGAAAAACACTGGATTTGACATTAACATATTTAGATTTTAGTACTAGATCCTTTAATTACTAAATTGTGACTTTCATGGTTTTTGTTGTAGTTCCATAGCCTTCAAGTTCATCCAGTAAGTGGGGAATAATCATTGCTACCTCAAGTGATTGCTGCAGGGATGAGTTGGTATAACACATGAGAAACTTGTGTATAAACCGTAGAGTCCTGGGTTACTGTTCTTAGAACTTTCAGGCGCAGAAGTATTCTTTATGTCATTCTAATAAGTTATTTTCATTAGCAGCTATATCAATTAATCTTCATTGCTTATAATTAATTACAGAAACTGCACTCAGCTACAAATTTGCATCTCATTAATATTTATATTTATTCTAAAGACTTTACCTAAGTTGCCACTGGTATGTTATACAATACCTTCAGACAATATAGAATACTCAAGTAAAACACATATGAGCCATCAATATGTATTGAATTCAAACCTAAACTTAACAGATGTCATTGACCAGGAATTGTTAATATTGTCTGAATTAGGCACTTTGCCTTGTCATAAAACTTAAGACCAAAAGTATCAAGAAGTAAGTGGGAGTATTTTATTAAACCTTTCATAGTAATGATAATACCTTACATTTCCACAATAGTTACATCTGTAGCACGTATCACATTTACTCTGTGGAAAAATATCTGAAAGTAGTCTTGGTACTCGCTATCAGTTCCATCTTTTGAAAGGAGGAAACCAAAGCTCATGGAGGTTAAGTGACCTGCCCAAAGCCATATAAGTCACAGAGTCTGGTCTAAAAGCCAGGTTCATTGACTCTCAATAAAGGATTTCTTTTTTCACCATGTCTGATCAAAAAATCTCAAATATATACTTCTTAGCAATTATAAGTTGTACTTTTCATAGGTGTACTATTGCCAAGTATTACTACATTTTGTCAAAGGTTTACTACCGAAGAATAAAACATGTTAATACTTAGACCTTCCCTAACAGCATGCTTTATGTCCTCTTCAATTACGCTTATACTATGCAAGACCATATAAAATCATTGACCCAAGAATGGCTCTATTCTTTGTTGTCAAGAAATAGATTCAGCAGCTAAAACCAGCATGACTTTCCTAAACACATATGTTAATTACAGGATTATTTCTGTAGAAAAATTGAATAATTTAACACCAGTAGAACAAAATTAAAGTAGTCCCAGATTGAAAATGTTTTCTGAAGAATATATAAGCATTAATATGAGAAGGGTCTTTTATGTTACAGTATTTTCTTTAGCCAAGTAGTTATTATTGGTTAGTTATAAAATGGCAGTGAAGGTTTTTTAAATGTTATGTCACATTTTTAATAAAGTTAACT